AGGTGAAGGTGACTGTATTCAATTGGAATGTTGTCGAGGGGAGATATTTTGGTTCCAGTTGAGCAGCAAGACCAGATATAAACTCACTCCTTGAATTATGATGTGTAATTTATAAATATTTTGCTAAAATCTTACTGTCATGTTTCCTTCTCATTTTCAGCTCGTGCTACTGTCATGAATATTTTTCGTGTTCCTCTCAACCTTATCGTCATTTCTCTTCTTGTTCAGGTTTGTTTAAACGCCCTGCAATGGTTCAGCTTGTTGTTTTTCAATCCACATAGATCCGGGGTTATCTTTGTTACATTTGCACCATGCTATGCGTGGGTGGTTTTTAATCCAACAAAATTTCAAGACTGAAATGCTGTGAACGACAAACCCTCTGATTTGGTTCCTTAAATTTGCAACGGCTTTCATCCAATCAGATCATTGCATAAACCGTAACATTCGTTAATTCCAAGACCTCTAGTTCAAATTTCTTTTTTTTTTTTTTGGTCTTTCCAAGACACAGGACATGTCGAATATCCGTTAATTTTAAAACACAACACAAATAAGTGAAGCAAATAAGTGAAGCAAGTAAGTTTTAAACATTTTTCAAAGCGGTTTAAAGGTGACACTGAAGTCAAAGAGGCATGTTTGTCCTATATTTCAACTGTAAGCAATAAAAATTAATGTTTTCTAGGAAATTAACTTGTCTGTGTAGATCAATAATCAGATGGATGTCGGATTCTCTCTCAACAGGATTTGCCCCTTCCATCTGTGTTTTGTTGTTGTGTGGTATTCTTGTCCATCTGTTGTGCCGTGCAGCAGTGGTTATTTTTCTTATCTTTTCGCTGTTCAAGTTCTACAGATGAAGTAAGAGGTGAGTTATTGAAATGAAAGGGGACTGGTATGGACCCTTAATCAAAGTCATCTTTTTCGCTCTAAACAGCATTGATCAAATATCAATCGCAACCCTTGAGTCTTTGAAATAAATTCCTTCACATTTTACTCGATTAATTTTTCCAATGTTAACATTGCCAACGCTGTCCTGTGGATGATTGACAAAAATAGTTAAAGAAAATGGTAGCAAAAAAAAAAAAAAAAGAAAAGAAAAAGAGAGAAAGATGAACGAAGATATGTCGAGAGCACAATATCTGCTAAGTAGGTCTTCCTCCCTTTCACTCGAATGATATTCCCTTTTTGCAATTTCATTGAGTATGTGTGACGCATGTCACGCAACACGTGTCACACAACACGTGTTACGTGGTAATGGCCTTGCTCATCGTAAAATGTCTGTGGCTCATTGTTACAGAATCAGAGCTTGATGTTCGATTCCTCGTGGGAACTCATGGGGATTTTTTTCTTTATTCCGCGCTCGTGACAAGCAGAAAAAAATCTTTCTTTGTGAAGTGATCGCGTCTCGTAATGTCATCCACTCTTTTTTTTTTTCCAGGAGAGGCTGATTCAGACATTTGTGACGTCATACGCACCGTGTAGAGCTGTCACGTGACATGAACCTCAAAGAGAGTGTATTCAAGATGTTATGTTTACTCTGTTAAGAACTAAAAATCTTCATGCAAATGTAGATCATATACTGACAGACAAACCAAGGTTCACAAAGAACTGAGTGTGTATGTTACATAACATGGATAAGAGAGCTACCGCTCTGGGTGATCTTTTAATAAGTTGCTCTTTTATTTGTAATTCGACCACTAGATCGGAAGTTCTGAGGGTCGAATCTTCTTCGGAATTCGGGGGTGGGGGGTTGTATAGTGAATGACTTGTCTTGTAAAAATGGTGATTTCATTATATTTGATTAATATGAAACCGTTAAGTTATCCTATTGAAATACGTTTCCTTCCGTCAGCGTTTTCGGGTTTTTGTTTTGTTTTTTTTGGCTTATGTTGAAGCTCCGACGTAGTGACTGGTAGTTTGTTCCATGAATAGCCGGAACGAATGTGCATATCTTTTAAGAAATACCTGAACTTGCCCTCCTAAGGTTTATAAGAAGGATAATCCACCTTCTCTCATCCGAAGTGATTAAAGTTTGTCATGTGGTTGTTAAGATAAAACGAATCAGTCCGTGACTCCGTTTCGTCGGGAACTGATTTACTCAAATGGGAAAATAATTTGGAGTTGAAGAACGTAAGTCTGCATGCATAAATTTAAAGTTATATTGCGCTTGGTTAGATTCACGCGAGGAAGCCAAAGAGGAGGTCATTTATAGAATGGTGGTTCGCGTTGGTCTGGTAAAGATGCCGGAAGAACAACTTGAAGCCATTGTTTTATCATTTCGTCGAACCAATCAGATGACAGGGATGAAGCAGTCTATTGGTATGCCGGTATATGACGCACCCGCGAAAATTAAGAAGCTTCAAGATGTATAATTACAAGAGCTTTTTATTTTGAAGCATTTACTTTTTAATTGTTCTCCGATGCATATCATCTACTTGTGATACATTAGCGCACTTCTGACGATTCGAACATCAAAATGTCGCATGGCGGCCATTCACACGGTGGGGACGGAATGCACGGAGGTGAACATCCGACACACGCGTCTACCGCAGCCATGAATCATCACGGAGGGAGCTCAAATCACGGTGATCACAGCGGGGAAATGGCCGGGCATGTGGTAAGGAGATATAAACGGCTAACGTTTACTAGTTTAATGGATGAACTATTTTCTTAAACATTTTCTTAAACATTTTCATTATGATAAGCCTAGATCTCCGAGAAAGAGGATTTACTGAAAATAATGACGCCGCTGCTGTGTTTGTGCTTTACATAGTGTCTAAATTGTTATATTAAGGAGTTTCTTGGTTTCGTGAGCATGGAAGAGAAAGAAGACTTCACCCGGTACAAAGAACTTGATCACAGCAAGAGTATGAAGAAGGTTTTTTTTTTTTATAACAAGATCTCAGTAGCAGATTCTTAATCTCGGCCGTTCTTTTCGGACTTTTGTTACCGACTGCACTCTCACAAGTTCAAATGGAAATATTGGATATACTAAAATGGTCGGCACTTCTGCGACATCTTTCATTTCTTTTTAACCGACCCTTACTGTAGTCCTGCAGCGCAGAGATGACGCACGATGAATACCTTCTTCACTCCTGAAAGCGCAAATACCAGAACAACAATGTGACGCAAAAAAGAGGTGATATCAGAAAAGTTTTGAAAGCGAGAAAGAGTAGTGTACATCAACATCGCTGTAACATATCCCTCTTGTATCAAGTATGTCCGTTTTATATTACTATTTATATTCAAGATTGTATAAAACGAAGCTGTTTGGATGGCTGCCATACATCAGTCTTTTTTTAAGGTTAAAAAAACATCCCTTTATTTACCGCAATGTTGTTACTTAAAACAGACTCGGGAAAGGGTATTTGGATCAATACGATTTTGTTTCAACAAATAAGTTGGAAAACGTTTATGTTTTTGACACGAGAACTTCGAAAGTTAACAAAGCCAGTCGTTTGCCAAAGTACTTCGTCTCAGTAAACCAATAAACGAATAAAAAACTCGTTGGCTTATACAAATGCAAGAAGACAACTAAGGCGAGTTATAAAAGCCAATATCAATGCCGTTCGTGCAAATTGTAAATGAGTAATTGGCATCTAATGAGAACAAAATCGGTCTTGTGAAGAAAAACAAAGACTTCAATGGCCTATTCCAAACAAATTGTGAAGACACTGAACCATTATCTTTAAAGGTTTCTGAGAGAGGTACGTTGATAATAGCAACATAATCAATCTACAAGGATTTAAATTCCAAATATTGGTGATTGTTTGTTTGTTAAAAGTTATATCGCCTACGAAACCAAAACAACGCAATACTGATATTTTTAAAAATAGGCACGCACTTACGACAGAAACTTTGTTTTGTTTGTGTCGGAAACCCGGCATCTGATAAGTTCGTCAATGTGAGGACGTAATCCCCCCGGGGCAAAACGATTAGCTTTCTTGTTTTTTAAAAAAAATTCTATATTTGGATTTGAGTAGGTGGAAAGATCTCTGAAATCACACACGTTACTCACCTAATTTAGTTACGAATAGATCAATAAGTACTTGAGAATTTGAAACTCATTTCCGACTATCCAGAAATTTAAGGCAGTCGATATTATATTATGAATTAGGATAATTTTGGTTTTATCAACTGAGTTGATAATGTAAATTATTATACATTCTCTTACGTCATACCTACAGACAAGAGATTTTATATATGTAGAAGTGACGTCATACCTACAGACAATAAGTTTTATGCGCTCTTGTCTTTACAAGTGCAGCTCAGGAATATTCGGTTTTCGCATGATAGCGATGATTAGCAAGGCCTCTGTTTGTGTTATCCACCTCAGCCTTCGACTTCGGCAGATGACACAAACCTTGGCCTTGATAATTATCGCTATCATGCTCACCTCGTCTAATTATTGTTAATTGGCCACCGCAGAGCCAGGGTTTCAAAGCTGACGCTGCAAGCGTTAGCCCTTAATTGTCCATTCGCTCTGACGGAGGAATAACGCTTGAAACGTCAGCTTTGAAACTCTTTACGGTGGCCAGTTTATATTATAAACTCGGTTGATAAAACCAAAGTTACCTTTGGATACTCCTCACCGACGCAGCACCGCAGTTTCTTTTGAAATTTACCCCCTTTATTGAGATATGAATTAGTTAAGCATTCCATGCTTACATTTCCTCTTCCCATAACAACGGTCAAGCAAGCCACGGAAACAAGTGACATATTTCAAGTCCAACGTCCACTTTGGTTATTTGCCAGTTGGCATCTAATCATCTCGGAATATTTTAAGTCTAACTTATTCTATGGATGGCGCTTGTCCAGGAGGAAACTAGCTGCAGAGCGTACCACGCCTAGCGAAAGGCATCAAGGACTCTCGACCTGTCCCTTACCTCACGTTACCAACCCCATCCCCCGAAAAAAACAGTCTCTCGACACCTCTAGGTAACGAAACGCCGAGGCATTGTATGAAATAGTACCGATCTTCCAGTATTGTTGATTACAATGGGTTTTGTTTCTATTTCAAGATGATGTTCCATCTCAGGACAGATCTTAATGTCTTGTTTGAACAATGGGAAATCACATCAACGAAAGGTAAACATATCGATAAACAATGAAATGACTGTGAAGGAGATAAATCTACCACAGAGTTCCTAAGTCAATATCAGTCATAATAATCCAACATCATGATCACATTATCAGTGCGAACGAGATGATATTCACTTGAGGGTAACCCAAAGTCCTAAAGCCATTGAGTTAAAATAAAATCTCGTGTAAAACTGACTTGAGTAATACCTGAGGGAATAATTGCGTAAAGTAGAAACACGGAAGTGAAGACATCGAATTCTCTATTTGATCTAAGATCGTTCTTTTTATGTTACTTTTTAACTCGTCACCGATGACATGTGCGCTTAACTCCTGAACCAAAAGTTTTATTTTAGTGGCCTTGTAACTGAAATCCAGGAAATTAAAGAGGGCGATGGTATGTAGGCCTTCGTTCTCACAAAGGCGATAAAGCAGTGCTAACACATTTTTAATTTCCTAATTTCAGTGCTGATTGGCTCGTGTATCGCAGTGTTTTTCCTCGCTGTACTCTATGAAGGCCTCAAAATCTTCAGAATGAGGCTGATGCATACACACGGCAGATATGTGAGAGAAAGTAATCAAGGAAAAGATGTCACACACTATTGGGAAACTCGACGAGGTTGTAGGTAAGATGGTGGTTTGCTTTACAAGTACTTTTTGTGGATGCGAATTTGTATTTCGTGCCGATTGGACTTTCATCACAAGAGGGGAGGAGGGTGGAATTTAGTCATCTTTAGTCAACGTGAGTCAGGGAAAAGAATGTACACTAATGATAAATTTTGTCGTTCTTAGACAGAACATGTGCACCTGCCTTCATTTGATGCAAACCGTAATGCACGTCGTACAAGTGGTGCTGGGATACCTCCTCATGCTGGTAGTTATGACGTTTCAAGTGTACCTTGGGGTTGCTGTCATAATCGGGGCAGGCCTGGGCTACTTTTTGTTTGCAGGATTAACTCCTGAGAATAATCCGAGGGAAACAGAGTCTTCTGCAAATTCTGGACATTGTAGTCCCGCAATGGTAGTAAAAGTGACCAACTTAGACGAGATAAGGGGTCAACTGCCTATGGAAAACCTAAGTTTTTCTGATTTGGCCATTGAAAATAAAGCGTTTGATGGTGAAAATATAGGTGATAAGTAATTTCTAGACAGTGTTTGAGATAAGATCAGAATTAGTGCTTTGGAATTCATTTAACAGAGACCATCTAATTACTCAGACATTTAGTGTAAATGTAATTATTTTTCACTAACGAGAAAAGACGGAATGTACTCATGCTCTGAATTTTGTACTAAACATTATTTAACTGAAAAAAGAGGTCGAAAAAGCTTGCTTAATACAGCAAAACAGAGCTTTATTTTGCAAAATTTTGAAATAAAATAACTTATTAATCGACACTTCGTATATTATTTTCTTGAATTGCAAATATTACCAGTTTACTCGGTCAAAGATAATTTTGTTTAATCAACTGATTTGAGAATATAAATAAGCCACCGTAAAGAGTTTCTAAAGCTTACGTTTCGAGCGTTAGCCCTTCCTCAGGGTACTCTGACGAAAGTTTAACGCTCGAAACATCCGCTTTGGAAAGTCTTTACGGTGGCTTATTTACATTATTAACTCAGTTGATAAAACCAAATTAGCTTGTTACACCCACACCGACGCAGTAACTCATTTCCTTCAAAAACTTACCCCCCCTTTATTCATTTGCCTGTTTACTAACTTGAGTGGTCACTGCCGAGATTATTAAATTTGTTTAGTTATAAATTGTTCCTCTCTTACTACAAATGCCTCACTCAGTCGACTGTCGGGTTCGTTTATTATTATCACTTCTCCTTACAATAACACGACATTATCTTGCAAGCATGGCGAAACTTGTGAGCAAGGGGGGTGCTACTCCATAGGCTGACAAAACACCAAATTCTCTTGACGAATCGATAAGCAAATGTATAGTGGTTACAAAAGAGAATTAAAAATCATGTCATGGGAGTGAAAGGGTTGGAGAGGTCTCCGTCTCCTGTGAACATTACATGGAGGTATGCACTAATACCTTAAACAGTTGTGGATGATATCCTGACGTTTGATCATAAAAATGAAAACTGCGGGGCAGCAAATTCACATAGCATTGAATTTGAATTTGAATTTTCCAGTCACTTTTTAAATTGGTTCCCCTTTTTATGATTGAAACAGTGTCCGGGATGAATTGGAATTCCCGCCCACTGTTAAATGACTGACGACTCCGGTGAAATGCCCCGATTTGGTTAAAATGGCGATTCCACATCTCCCATTTCAACGTAAACTGACTTGACTTGCGTGTAGTAGTCAATGGTGTCCTCACCCAGTTCGCGACCCACCCCAGACTTCTTGTATCCACCGAAAGGAACCTCCACCGGTGTTAAATTGTAATTATTGATCCAACATGATCCTGCTTGGAGATTGGCAATAACCCGATGAGCTCGATTGAGATCTCTAAAAAAAGATAAGAAGGACTTGGTTTAAGAAAACACGCGAAGTACCGTGTCACTTGAGGTATAATTCCACCTAACTTAAAACGCAAAGTTTTGAATTGTTGCTCTGGAAAAGGGATGAAATGCGGCGTTTCTTTCGGTAGGTGCGTTTTGAACTCAATCAGTAATTCTGGTTCATAGGAGTAAACATTGATAAATGAACGCGATACAGATAGCCTGCGCAGCTGTTTTAGGGAATTTTAAGCGCCATACAAAAGTGAGCAAAAAATCTATCAGGAAAATGGAGAGGAGGAAATTGGTTCCTCCCCTATATGCTCGGTAGCTCGTTTTCGCTGCTCCGTTGCCTCCATTTTTACAGCACCATGAAACCACATTTTGATGTATGAGAAGTAGGTACAAGGTGGGGTAGTAACGATGTAATGGGATCCAGGCCCTCATTACCCGCGCTTCAGCAATGGGGTTTCCTCTTCCGCGAGGAAGTTTGATGCCTGGAGCAAAGCAAGCTGGCGAGAGGTTTGTAAGGGGCCTGGCACTAATAATGAGGGGCCCTCGATGAAAGCTCTGCATTGTTACTAACAGCTGGTTTGCAAAAAATAAAATTAATGTCGTAGGCATGCACTTTGACATAGGGGCAACACATACAACCACTTGGGTTGACGATGACTAGGTCCTCAACCCCACCTATCAAATGACCAACTTCTTCTTCATTTGTGGAACTATCACTCAAGCACAGTGGCCAAACGAAAATCATCTTTAACACAAGACTAAAAATAAAGGCACTCTTACTTTGTAAAAACACCTGCAGCTAAACCAAAGTCAGTGTTGTTGGCTCTCTTGACAGCTTCTTCTTCAGTGTCAAATGGCAGCACTGTCATAACAGGGCCAAATATCTCCTCCTTGATAACCGTCATATCATCTGAACAGTCGGTCATCACACAGGGTGACATGTAAAAACCATTGGCCAGTCTGGGTTCCTCCATTTTCAGGCGTTCACCTCCACAGAGAATTTTGGCACCCTAAAAATGGACAATGCCTTATTTTTCTTTTTCATGTCTTAAAGACCTGTTAGGGTGTACAGGGCAAGCAGACTTTCTCACTGGGAAACCAGAATTCCCCCTCGCTTTGCCAGTGAGCCATGGCTTTGGAAAGCATTTCATTTTCTATTGGAAATCTTGCAAAGTAACCAAAGGAGGCTTGTAGGCAAGCTTATGATGAAAACTACCTCCCAAAGAGCAACAAGCTGTTTTGAATTATTCAAAGTCTTAGTTTATTCCACAGTATTTTTAAGTTAACCCCTAACTCCCTAAGGTGATTAACAAGTAACTTCTCTCTGTAATATCCATACATACCCCAGCAAACAGGTAATGAGAAAATACTTAAACTTATCAGGTTGAAGTTGTTATCTTGACCTAACACCAAATTCTCATAATTAATTAACATGGAAAAGTGTAGCAGCTAGAGATGAGAAATTACAATCAGATCTTGGGAGTTTAAAGGTCAAAGTACCCTATTCGTATAATAATCTTACCTCTTTCTTTCCTAATTCCACATAATCAAGAACTTTGTGAAGATGTTCCTCAGAGATCAGGGCTCCCATCTGAGTGTCAGGGTTCATGGGGTCACCTACTCTAATTTTTTTAGTTCGCTCCACAACTCGGCTGAGAAATTCATCCATGATGCTCCTTTCAACAAATACCCGAGTTCCATTGGAACAAACCTGTTGAAACAAAAAAACACATTAACAGTAAATAGGTAACTTTATTAAAAAAAATTTAAAAAAAAATTACACTTTATTTCAGTATTAGTAAGAGTGCAATTTTGTTTTAAGCACTCAAGACCTCTGAAAACTACATGTGGTATATTAAAATACACCATTACATTACATCGGTGGATATATACATGGCAGATTCCGATTGCCTCATGAACTAATTACTGAACACTAGTTGCATGTGTTTATAGAAAATAGTATTTATGTGAAAATAATGAATTAATTGAAAAAAAGTTAGTTTTATACCTCTCCTTGTGTAAGAAAGTTAGCCATCATTGCTCCCTTAACAGCATTTTCCAGGTCAGAGTCAGCAAAGACAAGTAGAGGAGACTTTCCTCCCAGCTCAAGAGTAACATGTTTGACACCAGCTGATGCATCTGCCATGATCTGCAGAAAAAGTGCAAGTTTATGTAGAGTGTAGGTACAGTATATACAAAAACTACTGTCATGAATTCACAACTGGAAACAAGTTTACTCTCAGAAGATAATCTGGTTGAGAGACGCATCGAGGGCTTTTTTAAACCTTACATTTTGGTACCCTATGTTTAAGACCTCTAGTCATCAAAATCCCAGCAGATATTGTGTATAAAATCATTTTGCTTTTGGGATTACCATTTTACATCAATTTACTTGAAAATAACATTCTGTCAGGTATTTCAAATTCTGTAGGCTTAAATAAGTGAGTAACTTCAGGGTGTAACTGAAGACATAGCTTTTCCCTGTTGTGATTCCAGTTGTTCAATTGAGGAAGAGACCTAGAGAGACAATACAATTTTCCATTAGACTTACAAGAAGGAAAAAATCTCCTGGCAAAACCCTCTAAAGTCCAGTTTCCTTGCATTAGAAACAATGTTAAAGGAAAAGGGATGGGTGAGTCTTCATCAACACCAATCAACCTCTCAATTCTAAAATAAATTTCAACCAGCTGAGAAAAGAAAAGCTCCCTTAATTAGTACCTCCCTGTCAAAGAGATATACCAAGACTGTTTCCTACAATTGTGTGCTTATTTAATGCCTATTTAGTACACTACACAAAGTTCACCTTTTGTCCAGTGGGTACAGATCCAGTAAAAGAAATTTTTGCAACATCAGGATGTGACGTAAGCAAATGACCCGTCACACCTCCCCCCTGTATAACATTTAAACCACCATTAGGAAGCCCTGCTTCAGTGAAGATCTCAGCAATGAGAACAGCAGTCTGGGGTGTGAAGGGAGATGGCTTAAATACAATAGTGTTCCCACAAGCCAGAGCAGGAGTAGATTTCCAGACACAGATTTGAAATGGGTAATTCCAAGCTCCAATTCCTGAAAATGTGAGAGACAAAAGGGGTTAGTTTGTATAACTGAGGATTGCTTTGTAATTTAACAAGTGCACAGTACTTTGGAGAAACAATAGACTAGGGGTTAACTTGCCAGAGACTCTGATCTAAAAGGTCCAGGTTTAAGCCCTACTAGAGTCATTTAATCTCCTGTGTTCTGAGGTAAGACAGATCTCACAATGCCACCCTCCACTCTGGTGTATAATTAAGTACCAGCAAACTTGGAGGGAAAACAAAAAAAATACTGGGAGATTACCTCTTACTGGGAGGTAGGTGGGGTTACCAGGGAACTACCTAGGAGATTACCTGGGTGATAGCTTGGATAACAGGGGGATATCTGGGGTATTACTGTTCACTAAGGAATTCCTGGGGAATTTCTCTTCTTAGACTGGTATCTGGTTTAGGAGCAGTTTATGTTACAATTGTAACATCAATTTACTATTTTCACACTATGGTAAACAGGGATAGGCTGACAGTCACATGCTTACTAGGATCTTACAAGTTTGCTTTTCAATACCTGTACATTAGGCACTATTGAAAAGGTATCATATGGAGAAATAGTTATATTTCTCAAACAAATAGAGGTACCAAAAGCTTTAACATAAAATCTGGCTGTCTAATACGATCACAGCTAGGCTTCTAAAATGGTTGTATTTTTGTGTAAATGAAAGGGTAATAATATAATGCTATGGTATTTGGTTAAAATACACTTATTGAAGACTCCTTCAACCATAGGTTGTTGCATGACAAATATCTTAGGCTCAAACTCCACCCCATCATACTAATCATTATTAAGTACAACCATTATTTATCTTGTTTTAAATCAAATCATTCAGTTTTCTGTGCATCACTTAACTGAGGGGGCTATTGGGGTTTGCAGTGTTGCAGTGTTGACCCTTTTTTCAATGTGATATTGTGGTGAAAAACAACTTGCATTGAAGTGTTGTGGTGATCTCAAACCTTACAGTGCATGATGTTTGTAATTTCAAACCATTTCTGGTGTAGCAGTTTATTCTTTAACCCTTCTTAAAAACTAGTAATCTATGGTTAATTGTCAAACAAAACAAACAATGCATCCAAGCAAATCTTTAATAAAATAATATTAAAGGCTGATAGTTTCGAAAGAAACTGTTTGGGGCTGCATCGGTGGGAGTAACGAAATAATTTGGATATATCAACAAAGTTGAAGTGGTGAATTGGCCACCGTAACGATTACAAAAGCTGATGTTTCAAGCGTTAGCCCTTCGTTGGAGCAAAGGGCTAACGCTCAAAACGTCAGCTTTTGTAATCGTTACGGTGGCCAATTTATCACTTCAACTTTGTTGATATATACAAATTATTTAATAAATATTAGCTGATTGACCCCAGGCCGTGTTCGTTTATATTTTAATTGAGCTCTGGACCACTAACACATGCACTACCAGCCAGCTTAAGACCACTGCATGGTAAAGATGAGTGAGACCAGAGCAGGTAAATCCTGAGACTATATTGCTGTGTCAGTGTGTTAATAACATTTCTAAAGGTGATGCAGTATTTGTTCCTTTTTGTTTGCAGTTTTGTGGTATTCAGAACCCCCCCATGCCCCTATCCTTACCTCCGACCACTCCTAAAGGTTCTCTCCTTGTGTAAGAAAAAGACCCATTAGGAAGCTGAATGTGCTTGCCACTAATGGTTGGAGCAAGACCAGCATAATAATCTGTGACATCTGCACAGCCTTCAATATCCCACACCGCTTCATGGAAAGGCTTTCCTATTTAATCAAATGTAAAATGTAATCCATCAGGGTCCAGTTGTTCAGAAGGGGTATAGCCCTATCCAATAGATAACTCACAATCCAGTGGATAAGCGTAAACAAAATGTACTGGGCTATTCACCAGACAGAGATTTATCCAGTTGATAGTATTATCTACCCTTCAAACAACCAGGGCCAGCATTATAATTAACAAATGGTAAACACCACAGCGTACACTATTGAGTTATGGATACACGCGGGAGGTTGCTAAGCACGAAAGAAGCGTAAGAGTCGCTCGAGGCGATAGCCGAGAGGGACTCTAGCTTCTTGAGTGCTTAGCAAACCTCCCAAGTGCATCCATAACTCAATAGTGTACGCTGTGGTGTTTACCATTTGTTTTATAACATAACATTGATACATTGTAGCTAAAGAGTTCCCTTTAATTTAACAAATCTTACGTGACCAGAAAAAACAAGCGCGCACGTAAAAATAGTCTTTGCATTTGCTCACGTCAGCAGCGTACACCCATGGGCAAATGGGGGACGCTAAATTGACCAATCAGAGCGCACGCTTTACTTGGTTATGTTATAAAATGCAGTTGAGCTATAAGAATAATTGTGGGTGGTACCATGCAGGCCCCGGTTGTTCAAAGGATGGATAACGTTATACACTGGATAAATCTCTATCCGGCCGATAGCGCGGTACGTTTTGGTAACACTTATCCGCTGGATAGTGATTTATCCATTGGATAGCGTTATCCACCCTTTGAACAACCAGAGCAAGGTGGACAATTAGTTACCATGCTGACCAAACATTGACTGCTGCTAAGTATGCAGTCTTTGAGTTAGTGGTTAGGATCAGTGATTACAGCCTTTTTCAACAGTGTCAAAAATAATTCAGAACTGTTTGATTTTGCTATACTTTGCTATGTGATTGGATTAAGAAAGCTCTGCCACATGTTCAACCAGTCAGCTTCAAAATTAAAACAAAAAGCAAAAATCATGATAGAATTCATCAGAGTAATGCAAGAGAGCTTACATATCAGAAAATAATATTGATTCCAACAGCAAAACTGTATCTGTAACAGTGGAACCAAAATTGTGACACTAGAGAGAGGTTGCAAATTAGCTTGCATGTAGGCTTACTCACCCCTAAAAGAAAGATTGGTGTAGAGGGGGGAGGAGAGGGGGGTTATCAGCTTGTCCAGTGAAACCATCAAGACGGTCTCATATCACCCGTATTCTGAAATGTATAACATCGAAAAAAAAAAACCTAAAAACAGGAGTTTGTAACTAAATATTTATCAAACTATTGATCCTACCGGTGTCCACGACCTCAACTGTGGCTAAGTCTTTGACTCTACTCCGGATAATCTTCGCCGCCTCACGTAAGATTTTCCCCCTCTCCATCCCCGACATTTTCGACCACGAACTGAAAGCCTCTTTCGCCGAGCTCACTGCACGATCTACTTCGGGTTTTCCTGAACCTTGCGTCTGACAGATAATTTTCCCAGTAGCTGGTTCAATGACATAGATATCGTTTTCTTCCTCTTCGCTTACTGGATTGATCCGATGCCCATTGATATAATTTAGAGGCTGGCAAGGCTGCCCAACGTTGCTCGATAGATTGCGGAGAGAGCTTAGCAAAATAAAATGTCCATTTCGTAGAGGAGAAGTGTGAGTAACTCGTGATATCATGCCTTTTTTGCAAAATATACCTTCTTCGGCCTAAATAATTTAGAAATACAGTGATCTTTCGACGTAACTTTGCGTGAACTGACTGGAAATTTACTGTGCCACGAGAATTAGTGCAAGTCCCTCGCGACTATGGTGTAATCCTGGTCACGAAAACATGTCATGCTTAACAATCTTTCCAACAGTTAATAACAAACAAGTTTCATTTTTAAATGCAATGATTTGGCAATTTAAAACCAGATTGACATATTTCAGGCTAGTGTGAAAAAGAAATCCGTCAAAACTTGATAAACAAGAAAATGAGCCCAAAAGTTGTAGTGTAACGCAACCTACCGTGACAAACACTTTCGTGAGAGAACACTTTCGTGAGAGAACACTTTCTAAGTTCTTTGTTCAAAGGAATAGCACATCCTATATTTTTCACCGCGTTCATCTACATTTGGGACGACGATTATAATTTATTTTTCATGGGGGCAAGATTTTCATGGCGCCATGATTCTTGTCTGTTGATAAAAGACTGCTCACTTCTCTCATCAATCTTGATTTTTATAGCAATTTTTAGATGTAATAAGGAGATGGTAACCTCTGTCACCGTGGCTCGTGCTACCCTCAAATGCGCTTATAGAACAGCATTTTGCCTTTATAGATTTTCATATACAACCTCGTTCCCAGAACTTTTCTCTTTAAAATTTATGCTAATCTAGGAGAGTACCTCTTTGGATATTGGTCAGTGCGTGACGCTATTTGAGGCGGAGAAGCGATCAACACCCGAACTAATCGGAATGAAAAAACCGGCCTCGGCCTCGTTTGAATTAATTAAGTCTATTTTTACAAAATACGCCTAGGAGATGCTACCATTTGAGACTTAGGGCTTGCCACAATATGTGTCACCGTTCGATGTTTTGTAGGTCTCTTTCGCTCAATTGAGCACTTTAATATTCAAATTTGCCATATTACATCTTCGCCTTACTATATGTTTCCAGTACACCTCCCAAGGATATCTAAATAACACTGTTTTCTTTAATCTGTCGAAATGTCTATAACTGGCTTAAAAAAAACCGTTTTCTACGTGTTGTTTTGACGGACGTTCAAGGAATGTTTTATAGAGTAAACCATTGATCAACGTTTAGACGCTTTAAATCGTTTAAGGTCCGATAGTGCAGCTTTTATTGTGACCAATAAGGAAACAAACATTTCGCAGAGCTTGTTCATCCCGAAACAAGTTACTTAGTTTGTTGTCCTTCTCTTGCTTTTGTTCATCAAGCTTCTGTCAGAACATGAGGGAAGATATTCTTCATCCGTACAAATTTGGTTAAGGAAAATGAAGCAGATATAACGCTGTCATTCTTAGAGACAAAGAAATCTTCGCGTAGGATCATCAAACAGCTCTAATTAGTTGTTCAGTTCATTTTAATGTCACATATGGGTTACCTTCACACGAACAACAGCTCAGCCGTCGCTCGATAGAAAACGGTGAATGATCTGACACAGTTTTTTCAGAGCCTTCAACTCCTTTTCTAGCTTCTCACCAGTTGACGAGGTCTCCCCTTTGACATCAAATTTGGAGGCAAGGAAGTCTTGTTGTGGAATAATAAAGGATGGAAAGGTGTTATCTTCGCAGATACATTGGTATATCCTCTTGAAAATTCTTCGGACCCATTCGCTTAGACTGCTGCTCTCTTTCAGGCCAGACTTGTCTAACTCATGAAACAAGGCCATCTTGAGCCAAAATGACGGAATTAATTTTTGAGCTGTGAAATTTGCCTCATCGTAAAAATATCCTTGGCTATCTACTAATGCCGGACAAAGTTCACGAATAGCTTTCGCTGTAATGTAAGCATCCTTGACGACTTCAGGAAGCTTGTCAAATATTTTGCTCTCCATAAGTGAAAATGATATTCGTACTTCATTGCCATAAATGCCATGCTCAAAGCGCGGAATGGTCATCGCAAAAAGGCACCGTTTCGGAACGTTTTCTAACACAGAACTGTACGAAATTGCACCCATAGGCCAAAACTCCCCAGCATCTATGACTGGCACAAGGTCGACTGAATATAACATATTCTTGTAGACTGGGCCATTCCAGCAGAGTTCAATGATGATTGATGGCTTAGGACGGACGACGCCTATATCGCAGCTGGGAAGTAAGAAGTTTGAGCAAATCCTACAACATCTCCACAGGCTGGAATCAAACATCACCACCCTTACAGTTTGCTCGAACTTTGCCCTTACCAAATATGGCACAAGATTTCCGTCAGCATCAAAAAATTCGTCGATATTTGCATTGTCGCCTCTTCTTTTCAGACGTACAAAGCCAGGAGAGCATGAATCCTCGTCGACTACTTTCAAAGAGGAGCTGAATTCTTCAAGATTGCACATAAAGTCGAACTCATCTGGTAGACCGGCCTTGGTTTGCTCCCGCACACTACCAGACATCATCATTGTTGACCGGAAGCGATGATCACGCTCTGCGACTCTCCGAAGGATCTCTACTATCAGGTTTTCCGTTTCTTTGTATACTTGGTCCACCTCAGCATCGGAAACCGCTACTTTACCGATTCTCGGTGTATGAAGAACATGAGACAAGTATTCTTCCATATTTCTCACAGGACTGATTTGCACTTCTGCTGCATCAATTGAAATTGATTCTTCTCTTTTCTCAAATGGTTGAGAGGAGATACCCTCGCCTTCTTCGAGGGCAAAGCAGGCACAAAGTTCACACGAACTTCCTGGTAATTTTCTCTCGCGTTGATAAGTGGAACTTCCTCCATGATTCTTAAAAGACTCCACCATTTCTTGGTTGAAAGCAGAAAGTGCACAATCCATGGGACTTTCATCCAGACAGTTTCTTAAAGTGACGTCGGCTGTCTCAGATGAAAATTCCAGATACTTGATCACCGAGGTGTTACTTGAGAATTCTGCATAATGCAGTGGCGTTGACATGAAATCATCGCGACCATTGACGTTCCAAGGCACTTCCCCACCTCCAAGCCGCAGTTCTTTGTTCGCAAAAACTGTATGCGCTACTGTCACCCCTTGTTTTCGAGCGCTGTTCCAATAGATCTCCTGCACCAACTTCTCATTTTCGCAAATGCAGTCCCAGGGAAACTGAAATCCCGTCGTTTGACTCTGTTCACGTACTGCAGTGACATGAACTGCGGAAAACCCTTCCACGTCTTTCGCATTCACATCTCCTCCAAGCATCATTAACTGCTCCAGTATTTCTGTCCATCTGCCAAAATCAGCTTTATAACTTGCATAATGTACAGGAGTGCGAAGCATTTTGTCAACTGAATTCAAAGATGCTCCATGCTTGAGTAAAACCTCCACGGATGATGCAACCTCAACTTTTGACATTAAGGAGCTACAATTATATAGCATCAGTACATGTAGAGGCGTCATTCCCTGTTTTTCTGGAATCGCAGGATCTGCCCCATACTCCAACAGAAGTACCAAGGAAACCAATAGTGCGTCTTCTCTGTGGAGTCCAGTCTTATTCTGGGAACAAGCCCTCATCAAAGGTGTCTGGTGTTTCTTGTTCAGTGTATCAACAGTGACACCATGCTTCAACAGGATTTCAGCTATTTCGTAAGTGCGATGTGAGCTGCAGATGTGCAATCCGTTTTCGCCTTTTAAATTGGTGTGATGAACATCAGCGCCATAATCAATTAAGATGTTTATTTTTGGAAGATTTTGCGCATACTCCTCTTCATCTATACACCCGTAGGCCATGCCACAAGCATACAAGAAAGGCGTATCACCAAACTTGTCTTCAGCATTAACTTGTGCACCAGATTGCAAGAGTACTTTCACTGTCTCAGGGGTGGCAGTTGATATGCAGGCATATTGTAAAGGCGTTTTACCCAAAATGCTGCGGTGGTTTACCTCAGCGCCGGCGTTGACTAGCATTTTTGCTGCCTCCTCAGATTGGCAATAATATAAGGGCGACTTACCCTCCTTGTCAAGAGCATTAACATCACTTCCCATACTAATGAGATATTCAGTTACATCTGGTCTGTTCTGAGCTGATGCCACATGAAGCGGTGTCCACTTGTCGTACCTGATAATGGCGTTAATTCCGATGTCTTGGCAAACCTTTTTTATATTTTCCAATGGTTCACGAAACAATTTAGTTATTTCTCTATAGGAATATTTCTCCATATTTCTCTGTGTCTCTCGCCTCTGAATGTCCGTAGTATCACCTCAATTATCATTTAACATCGAAGACCATCAATCGACCGATCGATATACTTCCATGAAAGGTCGCAACGTAATGTCTGGTTGCCTGCAAAAGTTAGGTCAGAATGAATTTATCGGTATGCGACACGCTATACGATTGAGTTTCACCAAAATAAATTCCAGGACGAAAGTGAAATAAGACAAACACACGTAGACGCAAAATATCTTAACCTGGAAGGCAGACTTTGACTTCACTCTGTGAACTTCCGGCTCACTAAAGCGAAAGAAGCGAAATCTCTAGGTTCCAGGCCCTTTTGGGCTTCAGCATCATAACGATTTCTTATGTGCTTGTTTCTACTGTTTTCATTTCAGGTTTTTTCCAATAAGAATTTTGTCAGAAAAGCCAAATAACGGGAAAATGCTATGTTGGAAGAAAAAAAAAAAAAAAAAAGAAACACTGTTCCAATAAAAAAGGGGATTAGCCGCTTGCCTCCGAGTGATCAATCCATCCATGCTTTGAATTGTCCACACCAGCGTGCACTTGAGTGAGTAGAAAAGAGAAATAACAAAAGATGGCTTTGCTATTGTTTGATGATGTACTTTGATTAGCTTCATGAATTACTGCAATTTTTAAGATTCATGACGAGCCCCTTGGTGGTTTTAATCATCATCAGCCAGCACTCTAGGGGGTTTACATTCGTAGGCCAAATATATTTTATTCAACAGTGACATTTTCAGTTTACTGATGCATACAAAATATAACATTGAACTTTATTACTTGGTATTGTCTGGCAGAAATGTAAAATAACTCTATGCTTACACTGATTGCGGATCAGATTTTTATATCCAAACCAGGCTATATTTGCATATGTTGAAAAATTAGAGCTGAGATTTGCTTAAATAGCTGTCTCAACATGTCAAACCAATCATACATACACAAATTCAATTCATTAAAAAAATGCTACATAGTTATAACTCAAGTTTATTTCTCCCATCCTGAAGTGGGGTAGACAATGAGCATTCCTTCCTTTTTTGGCCAAGTTTGCTGCAGGAGTTAGACTCCTTGTAGTCTAGGAGTGGTGTTACTTGACCTTAAATTGTCTTCTCACTGGTGTCTCTTGAAAACCTTTAAAATCTTTCTTTCCTTATTTTCAATAAGTTTAAAATGATAAACTGACATTATATTGATGAAAGAATCCTTCTTTTTCTGTTACCCATACAATTAGCTCAACAAAGATGAGTCTGAATCCTACAACTGATTGATGTTAGCCAGGCCTTGTTATCCCAACCCTTCACTGATCATAGAAACAAAAAAGATTCTTTCACCAAACAAGTGCTCATGCACATATACTTGCAATAATTTGTCATAATTCTTTGATTCTCTAAATATTTCAACTTGCTTTTTAGTATAACTCAATGATAGCAGCTATTAAGGCTGACAATTCTTAATGTCACCCTAAAACAAAAAAGATGACAAGCCATGGCAATACCTCTTTTTTATTACTTCTCTGATTACCTTTCAAACCTACTACTGATGTCTCTAAACTGAAAAGCTACCTTCATTCTTAGACTAGTAACCAGAGACATCCAAGCAGACACTTGCTGTAAAAAGGTAACTATCAATCCCAGTACTAGTCAGTTTATTATAGACTGAACCTTTTAATTAATAATTTTTCTTCACAAGGAACCATTTCTCTTAAAAGAGGAGACCCTTCCATTGCTTTCTGAAATTTGATTCGCAGCTTTCTTCCTCCTTTCAAAATAACACTCCATGAAAGGGTTTGCAAAAAAATAACCAATGCCACAACCAATGACAACCGCCAGAAACAACCAAACATTGTATGTCATGGCCACCAGCATAAGGAAATATCCAACAAGAAATTGTATCAAATACAGAAAAGTCCTTTTAAGGTGATCCATCAAATTGAACCTAACAACAAAAATCAGAGTCAAAAGGGATTTATAACAGCACTCATACACCTTACATCCAAAGCATATAAATGTCTCACTCAAGAGTTAAGGTTATCGTACACCTTCAGGGGTGTCTTGCATGCAAGCGATGTAGCATGTCTGGTTTAAACTGTAGATATCTAAACCCCATATCAAGTTAAAGTTCATAGGACTGGCTATCAGACTATACCAAAAATTTTGAAAAAAATGAATTGTCGAATTTTTCACGACTTCTAAATGCGAGCGCCCGAATCACCTTTTGAACGTTACATGTCAAAGCGAATTTTGTTTTTTGCTTATTTAATGTGTTCCTCTGTTTCCGGGGCCAAAGCGCTAAAAAAATGTGTCAGCAATTTGCCATATTCAATTTCAGTTAAAAGTTACAGAACTTTTTTGAAATAGGATTAAAAAATGTGGAGTGATCGTACAAAAATCGCTCTTGAAAAAAAAGTATTTGAAAATAAAAAATTTGGAGACACATTTTTGTTGTTTATATGTAAAACTAGCTACTGTCAAAATTTGAGAGCAATCGAACTAATTCCCTTTGACTTATAGCTCTTAAAAGGTGATTCGGGCGCTCGCATTTAGAAGTCGTCAAAAATTCGACAATGATTCATTTTTTTCAAAATTTTTGGTATAGACTGATAGCCAGTCCTATAAGCTTTAATTTGATATTGGGGCTTAGATATCTACAGTTTAAACCGGACGCGCTACATCGCTTGCATGCGAGACACCTCTGCAGGTGCTCGGTAACCTTAAGTTAAACAAAATTGGAGTACAAATGAAGTCTTAGCCATGGGATTTGAGTCTATCTCGACTCAAATGCTTACACCCTTCAATCAGTATGTATATTCTCCATACGTTCTCTATACACTTCCCATAACACTATCGAGAAGAATTTAATTAAGGGTCGAGAGCATCTTTCGCTGGTGATCATACCCTTTATTCTCCCGACCTTAATATTTGATTGAGGGGTGCTAGTCACACTTAGGGGTCAATTGGTTAAGTTACCTGAAATTTACCTCTTATTGTGCAACTGGTGAGGTAGTTTAGTTTAGTTTATTAGCTTCACCGACAGGCAGGGACACCGCAACAGCTTGTGCCAATTACTGCAGGCCCAGTAAACCCACCCATCCCACCCAGGGGAGGACATCCACCAAACAGTAATCTTGTGCGTGAGAAATTAACGTCTCCTACCCCTAACCCTGCAGGAGACGGGGCCTACAGNNNNCTAACTAATTGAGCTAACCAGGAGGTGGTTGTAGACAGACCATGAACATGAATTTTGAGATTACTGGAAGATATTTATCTCAAGCTTGGGACCAAAAAAATATCTGAGTCCCTGTGAGGAATTAAACTCTCAGGTTCAACACTGCAATGTTCAACTACTGACCTATAAAGAAGTCATGCAGTGATGAGTTGAGCCATTACCAGGTTTATATTAGGTGACAAATTCACACAGATCATGTAGATGCCACTCTAACACTTGTAGAGATCTACTAAGAGCTGTGAGGTGTGATGAGGAGTGTGGGGTTTTAAGTGGAAGTTACATATTACCATTTCTGAACAGTAAACACTACATAAATTTAACCATATGGTGGAATTAACAACTAAAAGCTTTTAGGAATGGTATTTGTTAGGATTAGAGAAGTTAATTTTAAATTAGTCACAGTGAAATTGGCCAAGCAAACTACTCAATTGCACAAGGGAAGGAAAATGCTTCATAATTTTTACATAATTCTCATAAAATTGCACCTCAATAATAGAAAACTGTGATAAGCAACTAATTTGGCCATGCAAGTTGGGTTATTATTGACACTGAATTTATAAAAGTACCCAGACCAGCCTTTACATAACTAATAAAGATAACACCCTTAACATCTAATTCTACCTGCTTTCATTCCTAGGAAGCCATCCTAATAGAGGCGTAGATTCAGAAGTTTCCCTTTTTGGCTTTTCATTTGAAAGGCCTTTGTATGACTTGAGACTCTCAAAGAAAACAGCAATTATGATTATGATTATGCATGATCCAACCAAACCTGAAGAAAATGGAAATTTTAATTTAGTGAATAACCCTTTATACCCAAACATCAGTTTTTCATATTCTCCATACTGTTCTCTATACATTTCCTAAGGTGTTGAAAAGGAGAATTTGTTTATCAATCAAAAAATTCTGTGGTTGGAGATCACTTCTGTTATTCTCGTGACCTAACTGAGTGATTTGGGGTTATATTGTTTGGAGAAATTAGATGCTAGTCATCTTAGGGGCCAGGAGAATAAGGACTTGATAGAATTCTCCCAATTACAACCACATTTTTTCACCTGAGGGCAGTTATTAAATATTAGGGATTAGAAATTTGGATTTTTCCATCAATAAGAACTCAAACCATCCTGTAGCAAATGGAACAGACATTTAAATGTAACCAACCTCCAATACTTGACACACTCCAATCTTTGAACAAAATATGTGAAATATCCTGTGAAGTAGTAAACCACATCTAAAAAACATCAAGTTAAACAACTGAATTATCCACAGTTGTCAATTAAAGGAATCTGGAAGTTTACATTAAAAAATTACAAATCTTCTTGATAGAAAGTTAAGATATCTAGTATATACATACGTGAGCCCAAAACCAAATTGAAGATGAAATATGAAAGTGGCAAATGGTGATTTAAATGCTCACAGGTGCTATGCTGGAGTATGACTTCCAAAACTTCAGGTTTGATGAGGACGGATTCAAATATTCAGTTGTTCATGACTACAATGATGGGCTGATCTTTTATTTAGCTCACTGAGGTGTCATGATGAACATAAATTCTTATTGCTTTCAGCCCAAACACCTACACATCAATTTACTGCTCAGTCTGACATACACTTCTTCTCATTTTAGCTCTGAGAATTAAGCATGAAATCAAACATCTACTCTCATTGATATTTTCTTTTCTTCTCATTACCCTTCTGCTTGAAATGGTACCAACACGTACTATAAGGAGAAATTCCTTGTTACTCACTCATGGGAGCAAAAGGCCAGGCTAAGACTGTTCTTATTAAACAGTCCATTGGCTCCTATTATACAACTAGTTCACCTTTCAAAAAGCAATAAATTGTGTAATTATGCTTTTCAGATGTGATATTTGTCTTATGACTCTTATGTTAAATAATGGGTTTGCCTTGATGTAAGAACTTGTCAAATCTTTCTTTGTTTTGCCATTTTTGTTTTCTTGGCTGTTATTGTTTTGAATTCTTTGATTCCTTTGTTCTATCTCACTTGTACTGATGTAACATTTTCTTACACTGGGGTAGAACCCAAATGTCTTTTAAAAGTAAGGTCACTGGTGCGTCTTTCATGGCCTAGATTCTTTTTAAAAAAAAATTATCAACGTCCAAAAATTAAAGACGAATAGTCATCATAATACTTCGGTTTCTTCCTTATTTTTCAAAAGTCTTCTTTCTTACATCGAAAATCCTGTCTGATAATGAAGAAATGTGAAGGAAATTACAATCTATTTAGTTTCTAACGAAACCAAAATTGAATTGAAATACATAAATGTTAGAGCCAACTCTCAAATGTTGGAACAGACTCAAATCATGCTAAAAACCGGCTATGGATATGATTCGTTGAACATTTTCATGTTCAAAGCCATTAAAAAAAAAAAAACAAACAAACAAAAACAAAATAAAAACTCACTTGCATGGCGATGCTTGCATGGGAGGCACTCGTTGATTTCTAGGCTAAATTTAAGTTGTTTAGCGATCCAAGGACGCTAAGACATCTCAATTACAATTTCTTTCGAAGGGTGTTATTGGGTAGATATCTATCTCTTTCTGATCTTCAGTCACGAGACAAGCACAAGTCGCGAACAACGCCAGGCGTCCTAACTATTCCTTCTCAGTCTCCTCTCGGACAAGATTATACGCTTCCCTTCCCTCGATTTGTTAGTAATTTGGTATGATTTGATCGTGGGTAAGTGGGTATCATTCTCGATTTGATTCCGTTTACAACTAATTTCATAAAAGACGACATTTTTTAAATCTATCCACATGAAAAAGGCAATAAGAAAAATTACGCGGAAAGGTTGGGTGAAAGGCGAAGTTGTAGAAATGAAGGCGCTTTGTCAAATATATAATATCAATCTCAAGCCTAAGTGCTTTCCGATAAGACCGTTCAGTTTGGAAAGTTTAGCAAATGTTTTAAGTTTCACGTTCATATCAATAGCGGTCATAGAATGACAAGAGTGGGAAGTTTCAATCAGCTACATTCGACACTTTGAAGTTTATCCACAGACGTTCTTTTAATTTTAAAATTCGGGTTATCAGGGTAAATCAGCCGAGGGAAAGTTAAAGTAGCTCAACTCAACGGGGAATTCGAGTCAACCGAGTTCTAGTAAATTGATAGTAAATGATTGGAAACAGGAATGAGGTCGAATCCAAGTAAAATCGGATCTTGTTCCAGTAAGTGGACAGAATTCGGCGGCTCGCAAACTGCAGTGCTTCCTGTTTAGCTTCTAGAGTCATCTTCGGCGCCCAGCTAACGAACATGCAACGTCGCGCGCAGGAAGTAATAGTCGTCGCAAAATTTCCAACGAGGAAACGGTCATCGTGAACCCAGCTATGAAAAAAATATATACGTAACACAAGGAAATACTGCCAAATAGGTGATTCTATCATCAAATCCCAAAAATTTTGTTTAAAGGAAGACGCTAAAGAATGTAATGGGAAAGTATTACAAGGAACATGTACAAGGACACGTATCAGTTTAATATCTAATAAACAAGCCCGAGAACAAGTGTGGATTTAAAAAATGTCAGTTCATCTTTAAAAAGCTTTAGAAATATTTTAAGCAGCGCAGTTATGAGATAAGAGCTATTTCTCGATAGCGCAGCTAAACCTTTGATGGACGAACCAATCAGAAAGAAAAGAAAAACACCGTCAACAGCAGACAACTTCCACGATAAATATAGATACACTTTTGAAGTATTTACAAAGAGCATAATTCTGAGATTATTTAAACACTGCCATGGCATCCTGAAAAACATCTTTGCGTTTCCACACAGTTGTTAGTAAAAATTTCCGGTTCACATGTGGTTTTAAACCACATTTCTTAACGCATGAGGCAGATTAAAAACTTAAGAACTATATTCGAGGCGAACACAAACGAAAAAAACACAAAAGAGAAACAAGAACAGATTTGAAAAGTCTCCGCTCCACAACAGATTCAAGTAATTTTTCATCACTGCACAACCAGCTGAAAAGCAGACAGCAATAGATCATGCATGATAGATGCCGTTTGCTGCTCAAGCAATAAGTGATTCAAAATCTTGCTCTTGTTTTAGAGATGATTGTATTCTTGATTCTGTGTTTCATATATATTTCACATACATTTTAGTTATGGTTAAGATAAAGACTCTGTTCACTGCAGCCATGTAAAAAGGGGAAAAAAATCTCGAAACACTTTCACAGATTTCAACGTAGCGAATGCAAAAATTAAACAGCTCAACAGGAGCCAAGCAAGTATCAGAATGTTATTCGCTCGAACACAGAGGTTCGAGTCATCTCAGACTGCTCAAGGAACGTCTAACAAGCTCAGTCATTCCATCGATGAGTTTAGAGCTTTGGGTTAATAATCAACCGAGTCAGATTACTATCTGTAACCATAATGCGTGTCTTCATAGCTTGATCTCATTCTTGACACGGGCCTCCTATACATATCAGTTTCTGGCTCCATTATCTCAGCCCCATAAGGCTCAGAATAACCTGGTGACACAGGGGGACCATACCGGCTGCTAGGCCGGGCAATCTGACCTTGTGGAGAACCATAAGGTCCCTGGCCAGGCTCGTCGTCTATCAAATGTCCCCAGCTCCCCATGGCCACCTCCTCGGCAGTCAAATACCCTGTTCCGTCACTGGGGTATCCCTCATATTGCGCCATGGCGTACGGGCTCACAGGATGACCGGTGGAATTCAAGTACGCTTCGCCGTTGTACATTCCGTACTCGCTCGGATCCTCCCTCATGTATTCCGGAGTCATGGCTCCTTCGCGTGACATCAGCGTGACAGGGTCGTCGTATCCCGGATGACCATAGAAGAGATCGGGTCTGTCGAGAGGATCACCGTCCATGAAGGAATCCTCACCATACATCAGGCTGTCATTGTCTTCCATGACTTTGTTTTCTACCATCTCCAGCCACTGTGAGTTGTGCCAGCGAAATTTCTCTGCTTGGATCTTCTTTGCCCAGTCCTCATCATATTCCTTAAATGATAACCAAACATGAACAAGGACTTACTCAACAACTGTGTTCGGTCGAGGACACGTGTATACTTCTAGTTTCAGCATTTTCGACTTCAAACTAAAACTGCGTAGCAAACACTCAAAGACAAAAAAAAAACCATAGTTACACTGGTTAGTTTTTGATCAATGTCAGTATGTAAACAACTGCGCACCCACCCCGCCCCTAACTTAACATTAACTCTCACTTACCCTTAGTACTTGCCTGTTGTTGGTTTAGGGAATGGGAGGGGTGTGGTGGGTGCGTAGCTCGGAAACTGACATTGATCCTATTAGAAAAAAATGGATTCGTCAAGAAAATTTTTTCAAGGTGGAAGTTGATTTGCAACCTTACAATTTCCTCGGCTAGTGTCTTAACTGGCACTAGTCAATTTTGTCCTTAAAAAAATCTCCTTGGCAAGTCAGTTTAAAGAGAAGGTGTCTTGCTTATCCATGTGTAATGCGCTCCTTTACAATTGGGAAGCTCAGGAAAGAAAAACAAAGCAAAACATAACAAAAACAGACCGACTACACACGAAGATGTCCACAACAGTATCATAACGACCACTAAAACAGAGTAACACACAAAAAGAAGTGAACAACAGTACCATGATAATGTCCAAAGTCTGGTCACAAACTTTGCGGATTTCTGTGTTCTTGTCGTGCATCAGATCAATAAGATAAGCAGGGGCCTCTGACAAGCAATGTTAAGGTATTAAAACCTTTACAATTAAACTTAATGGGAAGGCATTTCATGAAAAAACAGAGTTGATGTTAGTAACGATTTTTCACAAGAACATCAACGGTAAAATTGCAGCAAAAATTAGAGTCTACTTCCGTGTATTTGCTGTAAAAGGGATTCAACCACCCGCAAGTAAGTTGACGTTTTACAAAAAATTATTGTGGGTACCTTCCAACCCTTTTTGTCCACGTAGACTTACTTTTTTTTTTTTGCAAGCTTACTTTTTTTTTTAGCCAGCTAGATTATTAAAAGGATACGCGTTTGCTTCACAATGACCTCCCTTGTCGCCTTGTGAAAAATCATTTGGTAGAAAACGTAAACTATTTGTAACACAACCTCATCGTCCTCCTGCTTGGCTGTTATGACAAAAAAAACAGGAAAAAACATCAATTTGAAGCCTCTCTCGACCATAGCTAAATAAGATAACTTACTGAATGTCAGAACTTTTCACCTATTTACACCTATTAAGTTTGCCGAGAAACTTTTTACGAAAGAGAAGATTTACCATTCAACAATTCTATAAGCATTTGAATGATTCCCTCCTTAGCAAACACAGTAGCACACTCATCGTCCAATGACACGGTGCCAATTAAGATCACTACTTCCAGAACAAGGTCATCCTCTGCTACACCTGCAACGAAGCCGCATCTCACATGACTGAACTGATCACAAAAAAGGGAAATAAATACGTCCTGCCTACTTCACAAGATACAGCTGGTCAAGGTTAAACTAGTTACATGCCATTTGGGTTCCAAAGGCTCTCGAGAAGGACTCTCAAAAGCCAACGAGAAGGACTTAAGAGAGCTGCTGAAATTCTTGGAGCCGTGGGAAGTGATACTATTTCTGTTAGAAGCCAGAAATGTTGTGAATCAAACGTGTCAAATGTAACAAGTAAAATAAGTAAATCCCAGTGATAAACAAACCACATGGCATTACCAAACTATTGCTGGCAATTCCCCATACATTTCATTTTTAGCCTTTTATCAAATGTTCAAAAAACGAAAGAACAATTCACCTCAAAAATCGTTCATTTTCCAGGTTGTTATGTGGTAGAAGGTTAAGTCAGTTTACAAATCTGTTTCTGTTCATATAGTGAAAGTCCTCCTGCATTACTGGTTCAGGTAAGCAGGTCCAAGTTTCTATATAGTTTCCATATAACGGAATTAATCGAAATTCGACACGACTAGTCTTGGGGCTACTTCATACAAAAACTACACGCTGTTATAGTAGGTACAGCTGGCGAACCAATGATCGCACTTTGAACGGTTCAGTTCGGGTTTTGAACCACCCAAGCCAATAAAAGCTGTCTTTTCCTACCTGGATTTAGCTTGGTTTTAATGTAATTCAGCATGTCGTAATCTGTTAACAGCTGCTGAAAATTCACATCTGCCACTGTCAGGTTTCCTAAGATTCCCAGAGACTCCAAGACGAACTCTTCATCAGGGCATTTCTGAACAGCGTTTGCTAGGTCGCCAATATACTCCTACACAGAAACAATCGTGAATGTAATCACAAGAATGATCTTCCTGACGAGCATCACCTCAGAGACAAATAGCAAATGACAAAATTACAGTTTTATCTGCATAATACACAGGAAAGTAATTTAGTGCGTCACTTCCAATCCGCCTTGACTCTTTAACTCCCAGAAGTGATTAACATGTTATTTCTCCCTATAATATCCATACATCATCACATCATCCAGCAAACAGGTCATGAGTATACTCAAACTTATCAGGCAGAAGTTATCTTGATTATCACGTTGCTGTACAAAGAACGCTTTGGAAGATTATACGACCTTTTTTTTTCTTAAAATGTAGCCTTGTTTCGTTTTGATTACGTGATTATAAAATATCC